ATATCCCATGCTCATGGATTGGAAGAATCAACATTGTGAAGATGTCCATCTTACCTAAGGCAATCTACAAATTCAATGCAATACCCATCAAATTACCAGCAAAGTTCTTCTCAGACCTAGAAAAAACAATGCAGGGATTCATATGGAAACACAAACGTCCAAGAATAGCCAGAACAATTCTCAGCAACAAAAAAAAAAACAAAGTAGGTGGTATCACATTACCAGACTTCAAACTCTACTATAAAGCTACAATCATCAAAACAGCTTGGTATTGGTATAGGAATAGGCATATAGATCAATGAAATAGAATTGAGATTCCAGAAACAAAACCTCAATTTCTCAACCAACTCATCTTCGACAAAGCCTCCACCGCCTACCACTGGGGAGAGGAGAACCTATTCAGTAAATGGTGCTGGGAAAGCTGGCTGACCACATGCAGAAGATTGAAACAGGACCCTTACCTATCCCCATGCACAAAGGTTAACTCCAAATGGATCAGAGACCTAAATGTAAAACCTCAAACCATAAGAACCTTAGAAAATGAAGGACATACCCTCATGGAAATCGGAACTGGCCTCCAATTCCTGAACAAAACCCAAAACCCACAGGCCATAAGAGACAGGATAGACAAGTGGGACCTTATTAAACTGACAAGCTTCTGCAAAGCCAAAGAAACCATCAAGAGAGCAGGGAGACAGCCTACAGACTGGGAAAAAGTATTTGCCAACACCAGGTCAGACAAAGGCTTAACATCTTTGATATACAAGGAACTCAAACATGCTGAAAAGAAAAACACAAACAACCCCATTATAAAATGGGCAAAAGACATGAACAGACACTTCACAAAGGAAGACATCCGAGCAGCCAACAGACATATGAAGAAATGTTCAACCTCACTAATCATCAGGGAGATGCAAATCAAAACCACACTGAGATACCACCTAACTCCAGTCAGAATGGCAATTATCAACAACTCAAAGAATAACAGCTGCTGGAGAGGGTGTGGAGAAAAGGGAACACTTCTACACTGTTGGTGGGAGTGTAAACTAGTGCAACCTCTGTGGAAAGCAGTGTGGCAATTCCTAAAAGCTTTAAATATCAACCTCCCATACGACCCCACAATCCCCCTACTGGGAATATATCCAGAAGAACACAAATCACTCTATAAAAAAAGACACCTGCACACGTATGCTTATCGCAGCATTGTTCACAATAGCAAGAACCTGGAAGCAACCATGCTGCCCATCAAAAGAGGATTGAATTAAAAAAATGTGGTACATATACACGATGGAATACTACACAGCCATAAAAAAGAACAAAATCATGAATTTTGCAGCAACCTATATGGAAATAGAGTCTATAATACTGAGTGACCTCTCACAAAAACAAAGGTCCGAGTATCACATGTTCTCACTCATATAATGGACCTTGAACATCCAACCTAATACTATAAGAAAATGACTGACAGTAGTGGGAAACTATGGGGGGGAGAGAGATGGGATTAACGAGCAAATATCTGTCCAGGGATGGGGAAGCACCTCTTATTAATAGGGTGCCTGAATGAAACGTATCTGTATACCTAACCCTTAACTGTACCCCACAACATCATAATAAAAAATATTGATTATTTAAAAAAAAATTGGTAAGAACATTTTAGAGGATAATTTTATGGTATCTACTTCTCAAAATGCACAAATCTTATTACCCAGCAATTCCACATATACACAAATTGTTATTGCAGCATTGTTTATAGTGGCAAAACAATGGAACAACCCAAATGGAAGACTTTTCAATACACATTGTTAATTAAAAAAAGCAAGTTGCAGACCAAAACATACCAATTTGCTTTAAAATAATTTAATAATAATCACTTGTTAGAATACATACACATATGCATGTTAATATATCATAGGAAAAGTTGTAGAAGAAAGCACACCAAACTGGTAACAGTGATTACTGAAGAGAGGAGTAACAAACCAGATTAATTTTGTTTTAGTTATGTTAAATGAGAATAATGTACTAATGTATTACTTCTGTAATTAAAAATTAATTAAATGGAGACTGATAGACAGATATGGACTATCTGTTTTTTAAAATTTGGTAAATCTAACACTGCACCAAAAATTAAAGTTTATTAATTATTTTTTAAGTTTACTTTAACATTTTAAAAAATTGCTTAAAATAAAATCAAACAGACATTTTAGGTAAACAATTATTCCAACAGCCTGGGTTGAAATTATTGTTGAGGTAATTATAGTGACAGAACTGGTGTATAATTCAGTGCCTGTGGGAAGTGCAATTCCTTAACCTCAGATTGTGTACCCAACTACAATCTCAGGAATTTCTTTTGTGTTTGGAAATCCTTTGACTCCAAAGTCATGAAAATTTGCTTTTACTACCCTTGTCTGAGGGCAGGTTCTATACTGTCTCATTGAACTGGTATTGGGAAGGTCACAATATATTCACAAGAAACCCTTTGATATGCTAAACCCAGGTAGAAGGCCACAAACCTCAGTGGAAAACATGATTTTAAGGTCATGGTCCATAGGTTCCTACCACAGAGGTGGTAAACTGTAGCTCCCAGATACCCCACCCCTTATCTCTGCTTCAACCAGGGAAGTTCTTCTGTCTGTTTTATTGTTCTTCCATGTAACATTTCATTTAAGCAAGGGATTCTGCAATTCAAAAATTGTAAACCACTATTAATTTAATCTATTAAATTTGGTGTATTTTTAACTGAGCAGCAGTATCCCAAGAATGCTGACAAAAGAATCATAACTACCTAAAGAAACATCCCTAAGTGTGTAGAAGGGCTTCGTCCTTGACTCTGTGTCACTCAAAATTGTTGTTAATGGCTTGGATAAAAATGTATGTGACATGCTTATCTAAGTGATAGATAGCAGGAAGATACCAGGAAAACATCCTGTTGAGAAGATGGGTCCACAACTATCTAAACCAAATATTTAAAGTTAAATACACTAGGAACAAAGTTTTTCTCATGTTAAAAATCCCAGAATGAGGAAGGTATGGTCTTTTTTCTACTTTGAATAAACAACACTTGAAAACTGTGAATAAATTTTGAGTCCATAATTCAGGAGAAATGTCTATAAAGAGGAATTTAGCCAAGGAGAGAGATGAGAATGTCGAGAAGTTTGAAAACCATAAGAATAATCCCTCAGATGCACATAGAACATCAGTTTACAAAGTACCATGTTCATGTATGTGTCTTCATATACATCTTCATGTATGTGACCAAATATAAGTAGAGATTGACAGAACTAAGGATAGTGAGCCTAGCAAAAAGAAGGCTTAAGGCAGTTTTATTTCAGAGTTTAAGAAGTGTACATTGGAGAGAAATTAGACATTTTTTTGTGATCCAGAGGGCAAAATAGAATCGGTGGGATAAAGTTACCTAGACAGAAATTTCAATTAACAAAGCTAAGCAGCAGTGAAATGGACCATACTTTGTGAGGCCGTTCATGCAGAAGTAAAATGACTCTGTGGCCAGAACATGTGGAAAAGACTCAAGCATTGATGGAAGCTAGGCTTTCAAGGCTCCTTCCAGCTCTGAGATTCTAAGTAGCAAAAACATACTCTCTTGTGTTCTCAGTTTTTCCTTTCCTCCCTATAGACCTTCTGGTTTAATGAAATGAAATGGTGTCTGGTAAATTCCCATCTACCTCTTGGAGGGTGTGATACATTTCAAAACAGCTATAAATTCTTCCCTTTCCTGCATCCACATCCTTGCAGTGTGGTGTTTCAGATCCTTCTGTTAAGAGATGGAGTCTGTTTCCCCACACCATGAATCTAGCTTGGCCATATAACTTGTTATTATGTCACAAAAGAGGCTTGAAAAGTACTTGCACACTGGGACTTACTCTCTTACTGCTCTTGGAAACCCTGTACATACTGCCATTATGTGCATCAGTCCACACTGGCCTGCTGGATGACAAAAGGCCATGAGAAAACTCAGGCATCCCTAACCTACAGTGTGTGCAGCTCCAGCTGACAGCCTGTCAAATGCCAGACATGAAAATGAGGCCATCCCACATCATCCAGCCTCCAGCTGACCTGCGACTCACCACATCCGTAAGCAAGACAATCAGAAATCAGCAAAGCCAATCCAGATCAGAGGAACTGCCCAAACAACCCACAGAGTCATGAACTAAATTAGAAGGTGGTTGTTTCAAGCCACTAAGTTCTGGGGTAGTATGTTATACAGCAAAAGCTTACTGATAACGTGAGTGATCACTGGATATCCCCATTATAAATCTACCCTAAGGCCAAATAAGACATTTCTTTGAGTTGTGACAGTGATACACTATGGGTACCATGCTGGGCTAAAGTTCATCCTGTTTGCTCAGAGATTGCATGGTACATATGTAAACTACTCCTTTTCCAAGTTTCTTGGTCTTGGGTTGTTTAATGTCACTACATCTTTGGAAGTTGGACTCCATTGTTGGCAGATGACCTGTGTCCCAAGATCTCACTGCCCAGGAACTGATCAAGTGTTTAATGTATTTAGTTAAGAGAAAGCACTAAACTGAAGTCACCCAACTTGTTGGAAGTCCTCCTGAAAATACGCAGTCATAGAAGGTCAGAGCTGGAAAAGCCCTCCAAAATGAGCTAACCCAAAACCTTCATTTGACAGATAAAGAAACTGAGCCTCAAGAAGTTAAGCATCTTGCTCAAGATTGCATAGCTAGGAGATTAGAGTCCAGGTGTCCTGACTCCTAGTCCTAGGCTCTTTTTCTCCCAAACTAGCTTTTTAAGTTCTGTTTTCTATCTCTGTCCATTGGTGTATCTGTGGACAAAGTGTCGATAGAAGTAATTCACAAACATCTTTTGATTTAGTGTTGTGTATGAACATCCTTAACTAAATGTGGTGTATTCTTCCATAACTGTCTTCATTTTATCGTTGTTCCTTCCTTAAATTATCATATTTTCTTTTTTCCATATATTTTAGTTGCTATTTATGCATATTGTTTTGTCATAGGAAAAGAGTTTCCTCCCTGTGCCATTGAGGTCTATAAAGTAGTGGAGAAAGCTGATTATCCCAGGAATGAAAATGGAGAAATTGCTGCTATTATTCATCCGAATCTCCAGGTAACAAATGTGGAAAATAATAACACTCTACTTTTGAGTAGAACATTACAGTTCATACATTTTACATACTTTAGCTTATTTGATGTTCTCAAAAACACTGCAGTATAGGGCAGACAGGCCTTCACTCAATAAATATATATTACTGAGCCCACCTGTGCTGGGTCTGGGTCTACGTCAGTAAGCATGGTCTGTACTCTCATGCAATTTATAGTTTAGATATATTAAAGTCTAAACTATAATCTAGAAATTAAGATAACCAAATACTATAGCAGAATAATGGGTGGGGTGTGGTCAGACAGGCCTTTTAGAGAAAGTGCAATTCCTACCCCAGTACAATAGGTAGGAATTTTTATGTCATTTTAATATTAAAAAATAGGTACTTAGAAGTTAGATCCCTCCCATAGCCTTACAGCTATCCATAACAGATCCAGAACTAATATTCTTTGCAGCTGACCACATGGCTACTATTTCCCTGTACTCACTACTGAATAAGTTAGAGAAACAATCAGAGCCTCTTTCTTTGAAATGTCTGCTACCACTCTCTGATTCTCCTCAGAACCCCAGAATCTACTCCTTGCCTTGCCAGGTTTGATATGTAAAAGCATAGTGAAGGAGGAAGAAAAGGCTCTTAGGAGACTCTAGGAAGTTTGAATCTGGAAAAGGCAAGATGAACAGCAGGGAGAAGCAAAGGTTTCAAAAAGTTAAAATTTCCATTCCCCATTGTGAGTACCGTATGCACTCTCAGACCTCAGAGATGGGCGAGACCTGATAAATTATCTAGTCTGGGACTTTCAACCCCCGCTACATGTTACCTAGAGAGCTTTTTAAAAAGTAACAATGTCTGGACTCTACTCTGAGATAATCTGATCTTATTGACTTGGGTAGTCAGGTTTGAAAACCACTGATCCAGTTCAAATCCCTATTTAATGACTGTAATAGTCATCAGACTCTCAATGTAATTAAGTGGCCTGCCCAAAAATACAGACTAGTGGAACAAATCCTGTTTTGTGACTTAATGGGACCCAGGTGGAAACCTGAAGCTGGAGCCTTAGGCAATGTGTTAAAGGAAAGATACAGATTGCAGGTGAAAAAGGAAGAAGGCACTAAGGTGAAAAAATTGTTAAGTACAAGAAACAGAGGCCAAAGTGATGATCCCATAACAAGCTAAAACAGAATTTTTCAGGTTTGAGAATTCCTTGAGAATATTCTTGGGGAGTACAAAAATAATCCTGGGGAGGATGAGAAGTGAGATTAATGAGAGCAATAGGAAATCAGGTTAGTGGTAGGTCTTGAAAGGTAGGAAGAATAGTTTTGATTTGATAGACAATAAGGAATGGCTTAGTATTCTACAGGAGGGATTGATTGCTAAATTATTTCTTTTTTAAAATTTTATTTTATTTTAAAATTGCGGGGTACAATTCAGGGCTGGTATACAAATATTCATTGTGCAGGTCACCCTTGTTGATGAGGTGTGGCCCCTTCCCCAGGCAAATTTCGACTAGTCAATCCCACCTCCCCCCGTACTTACCCTCACCTCCCCCCCACAGTTTCCCTCTACTGTCAATCCTTTTCCTATAGTATTACAGTAGTTATTCAAGGTCCACTTATGAGTGAGAACATGTGATACTCAGTTCTTTGTTTCTGTGTAAGATCAATTATTTCTATAAATATTTCTTAATCACAACTAAGTCTGTCCTATACCTAAGATTCAAGATAGGCAAGGTCCCTGAAGGAGCTTCCATACCAATGGGGAGAGAACAGACCATGAATAAGTAAGCAATACACAAATCAGAAAATTTCCCACTGTAATAAGTGCTATAGCCTAGGCTGGGCACTGTGGCTCATACCTGTAATCCCAGCACTTTGGGAGGCCAGATGAAAGGATTGCCTGAGTCTAGGGGTTCAAGACCAACCTGAGAAACATGGCAAGACCTCATCTCTACAATAAAATCAAAAAATTAACCAGGCACACACCTGTAATCCCACCTACTTTTGGAAGGTTGAATTGGAAGAATTGCCTGAGCCCAGCAGGTTGAGACTACAGTAGCCATGATCCTGCCACTGCACTCTAGCCGGGGCAACAGAGTGAGACCTTGACTCAAAAAATAAAAATAAAAATAAGCCTAACAGTATAGCAGAGGGTTCCAATTAGATAGAGTGGTCAGAAAGCACCATCTCTGAGATGATGGCACCGAAGCCGGAGCCTGGAAGATAAGAAGTCAACCACATGAAAAGCAAGTGCAAAGGTCCTGAGGCTGGGACATACTTGGGGCATTTGAAGAAGAGCAAGGAGCCCAATGTCCATGGAGAGTAGGAGCAGAAGACAACAGACCCTGGAGCCAAAGACATAGGCAGGGCCCTGGTTCTAAGTCTAGATTTTGTTCTAAGAATGATGATTCTTAATCAGGGACGCTAATTAGAATTACCTAGGGGACCCCTGCCTGGCAATGTCTGGAACCTATCACAAACTACTAATACAGTGCTTCTCAAACTCAGGCCATATGATCATCTGAGAAGCTTTTTAGGAATCCTCAAAGGGAGGCCCAAACTTCACCTGTACGATGACTACTTATGTACCTAATCCTGAATTGTACCCCACATCTGTAAAAAAAAAAATTTTCAAAAAAAATTGTTTTAAAAATAAATATAAATTTTTTTAAAAAAGAAATCCTGACTCCTGGGTCCCATTCCCAGAGAGTCTGATTTAATTCATCAAGGGGTAGACAGGGAATCGGTTGCACCCACCAGGTAATTTTCATGTGACCCAGGCCTAGGAAGCACTGCCCTACATGGGGATATCTGCAGATGGGGCTAGCCATATGTGTATTGAGGAAGTTCCTTCAGTGGTTCTGGGATAAGATTGCCTGAAAACCACTGGTCTAGAGAAGTAGTCTCAACTGGGCCACCTTGTAAAATCATCTCAGTCTTTAAAACAATAAAAACAAAAAAACTGAACTCTAAATAGGTAGCACGAGGGATCGGAAGAGGTAGGGACAGAGTTATGTGTCTTGATTATGTGGTTACAGTTTCTATGACTTAATGCTATGCATATACCAAAACTCATAGAACTATAAATAAAGATGAGTGAATTTAACTGTATGTAAATTTTAAAAATAATGATGTCTGTGCCCCACTCTTGAGATTCCAGGTTGATTCATCTAAGATGGGGCCAATCCCTCTATCCATACATATGTATATTAACATCCCAGGTGATTATCACGTGCAGCCAAAATTAAGACAATTGCTGTGAGGCAGTGCTTCTCAAACATGAATGTTGTGCATGGGAATCTTTGGGGCGGTTGTTAACATGAAGATTTTGATTTGGTGGGTCTGCAGTAGGGGATAAAATTCTGCTTTACTGGCAAATTCCTGGGTTTGACGCTGCTACTTCTAGGAAATGTTAGACATGCAGAACCTCAGGCCCCCCACCCCATCAGTATCTTCATCTTAACAATCCCTAGATGATTTGTAAGCACATCACAGTTGGAGAAGACCTGACTTAACATTCCTGTGGTATGATAGCTTTGGTGCTTGAGGGCTGAAAGATCTTAATCCCTGGTGCAGGGCCTTTCAGATAATGCAGTCGTTACCCTAACATGAGAGCACATTTGGAACGCATCCACCTGTTTCAGACTTTTCTCCAGTTCACCATCACCTTCTCTCACAATCCTGATCAGAATAGTCTCCCCAAATGCAGGTATAGCGTGATGCATTTTTAAATTCCAGTAGTAGAATTTGTTGCACACAGAAAGCTCTCAGTGGGTGTTTCCTAAATTCTGCTGAACAGATTTTAACTTCAGCTTGCAAGAGGAAGAATATGCACTTAGGTAGACATGCATTTAGTTTTGACTTTCGATATTATACATCTCTTTGGCAACATTCAAGGTAATCCTGGTATTAAAGCAAACTTTACGTGTGTCAATTATAAAAATGAAAAGGGGAACTTTAAAAACTGCTGCCAAAATTAATTACACAATTTCAGTTTAGTCAGATCACTCATATGCCTCTCAATGCCTCTCTCAAATATCTCTTTTAAAAGAATAGAATGCTACAATTTGTTAGTTGTCTAGAGTCTGGCATAAAATTTTAAAGTTGGAGAAAAGCAAAATGTAATTCGTTCATTTTAATTGTTTCTTGAGAGGATCAAGACTGGAAACCACTGCACCCTGGAGATCCCGTGTTTTTAACGCTTGATGGGACGACTATTCCATTGGATGGAGACTGTACTGTGTATCCAGTGTTTGTAAATGAGGCCGCATATTATGAAAAGAAAGAAGCTTTTGCAAAGACAACTAAACTAACACTCAAGGCAAAAAGTATTTGCTCCTCTTTACATTAGAAATCACTCCAGCTTACTTGATATACAGTATCTTGAAAACCTCTACTAGTTTTGTAAGCTCCTCAAGAGCAGGATGTGCCTTATTCAACGTCACCATTACACCTAGCACAACAGTGCCTTACTCAGCACACATCCAAGCAGATTTTTTAAATTAATGAATGTCTTTTAACTGTCTCATGTTTTATGTTTGTAGTTTATTCAAAGAAGTGTTTTCTATTTCTGAATAGTTTATTATACATTATACTTTGATGGTTTAACATTCTTAATAAACAGCAATTATAGTCTAAACATAAAATTGAAATTGATACTATATATAGAAAGTTATTAACTTGAATACAGAATTAAATATACATCTTCAACAACAGACATACCTCTTTTTATTGCACTTCAAGTTATTGCACTTCACAGATACTGCAATTTTTATAAATTGAAGGTTTGTGGCAACCCTGTGTCTGGCAAGTCTGTTGGCACCATCTTTCCAACATCATGTGCTTACTTCATGTCTCTATGTCTCATTTTGATAATTCTCACAACATTTCAAACTTTATTATTATTTTTATATTTGTTATGGTGATCTGTGATTAGCAATTTTTGATGTTAATATTGTGTTTTGGGGTACCACAAACCATGCCAACATAAGACTGTGAACTTAGTAAATGGTCTGTATGCTCTGACTGCTACACTAACCAGCCATTTCCCTGTCTCTCTCCCCCTCCTTTGGCTTCCCTATTCCCTGAAACACAATAATTAATAACTCTCACAACAGTCTCTAAGTATTCAAGTGAAAGGAAGAATCATACTTCTCTTACTTTAAATCAGAAGCTAGAAATTATTAAGCTTAGTGAGGAAGATATGTCAAAAGCTAAGACAGGTGAAAGTTCAGCAGGCTAAAATCTAGGCCTCTTGCCCCAGTTAGCCAGTTGTGAATGCGAAAGAAAAGTTCTTGAAGAAAATTAAAAGTGCTACTCCAGTGAACACATGAATGATAAGAAAGACAAGCAGCCTATTGCTGCTATGGGGAAGGCTTCAGTGGTCTAGACAGATCAACCAGCCACAACATTCCTTTAAACCAAAGCCTGATCCAGAGCAAGGTCCTAATTATTTGATTCTGTGATGGCTGAGAGAGGTGAGGAAGCTGCAGGAAGCTGTCAGATGTTGGTTCATGAAATTTAAGAAAAGAAACCATCTTCAAAACATTAAAGAGCAAAGTGAAACAGCAAGTGTTGATATAAAGGGAGTTCTCTAGAAAATCTGGCTAAGATGATTGATGAAGGTGGCTACTCTAAACAGAAGGTGTTCAATTTATATGAAACAGCCTTCTGACAGAAGAAGATACCATCTACGACTTTCCTAGCTAGAAAGGAGAAGTCAATATCTGGCTTCAAAACTTCCAAGGACAGGCTAACTCTCTCTTTAGGGGTTAATGCAGCTGATGATTTAAGTTGAAGCCATTGCTCATTGACCATTTCAAAATTCCTAGAGCCCTTAAGAAGTATGCTAAATTTTTGTATATCTAACCCTGAATTGTACCCCACATCTTTATAATAAAACAAGAAAAATTTTTATAAAAAAATACTTCTGTAAAGTAAAAACAAGTATGCTAAATCTACTCTGCCTGTGTTCATAAGTGGAACAGCAAAGCCTGAATGACAGCATTTCTGCTTACAGCATGGTTACTGAATATTTTAAGCCCACTGTTAAGACCTACTACTCAGGAAAAGAAAATTCCTTTCAAAATATTAGTGCTTATCGACATTACAATGCACCCAGTCACCCAAAAGCTCTGATGGAGATATGCAAGAAGATCAATGTTGTTTTCATGCCTGCTAATACAACATTCATTCTGCAGCCCATGGGTCAAGAATTTTGACTTTCAAGTCTTATTATTTAAAAAATACACTTTATAAGGCTGTAACTGTCATAGACAGTGATTCCTCTGATGACTCTGGGCAAAATAAATTGAAACCCTTCTAGAAAGATTTCACCATTCTGGATGCTATTAAAAACATTCAGGATTCATGGAAAGAGCTCCAAGACATCAACATTAACAAGAGTTTTGAAGAAATTGATTCCAACCCTCCAACCCTCATGGACAACTTTGAAGTGTCCAAAACTTGAGTGAAGGAAGTCATGTGGATGTGGTGAAAATAGAAAGAGAATTAGAGGTGGAGCCAGAATACAGGACTGAATTGTTACAGTTTTATTATCCAACTTGAATAAATGAGGAATTGTTTCTTATGGATGAGCAAAGAAAATGGTTTCTTGAGATGGAATCTACTCTTGGTCAAGATGCTATGAACGTTATCAAAATGACAACAAAGGACTTAGAATGTTTCATAAACTTGTTGATAAAGTGGCAGTGGGGCTTGAGAAGATTAACTCCAATTTTAAAAGGAGTTCTCCTGTGGGTAAAATGCTATCAAACTGCAACACATGCTATAGAGAAGTCTTTCATAAAGGGAAGAGTCCATCAATGTGGCAAACTTTATTGTCTTATTTTAAGACATCACCACAGCTACCACAGCCTTTATCAGCCACCACCTTGATCAGTCAGCAGCCATGAACATCGAGGCGAGACCCTCCAGCAGCAAAAAGATTACGAATCACTGGAAACTCAAATGATCATTAGCATTTTAGCAATAAAGTATTTTTAAATCAAGATATGTACATTGTTTTCATAGACATAATGCTATTGCACAGTTAAAAGACTATAGTATAGTATAAACATAACTTTTATATGCACTGGGAAGCCAAAAAATTTTGTGTGACTCGTGTATTATATTTGCTTTATTGTGGGGGCCTGGAACCAAACCCATAATTTCCAAGTTTTGCCTGTAAGGTATAAGTGCTGTTAGAAACTAATGGTTCAGGCTTGCTATTTTTAAAATTATCATATTTGAATTAATGATAATGTACTAAGTATCCTGTCTATAAACTTTAGCATTAGTTGCAATATCTGGAGAAGACTTTTAAATGCTCTTTTGCAGATGAAATGTGAAAACAAATGAGGACTGATGGTAAAAATGACATTATGAGTAATCAGGAAACTCTGAATGGTCCTTTGTCCACAAACAGACAACAACCCACACAAAGCATTGCAGCTCTATTGTGTCCACTTGCCCTGCTGACCTCAGGGAGCAGAAAACCTCCTTCAGACGTCTCACATGCCCCTTGAGAGACTAACGTTCCTTTCCGGCATGGAAAATTTGGAAGAGCTGTCTCCACAGCTGTCACTTCTCATTTTGAAAGAGTGTACCTACCCCTATGCCCAGCCAAGGTATGAGGAGGTCTTTGGGTTCCAGCTGCTGCCAGCATAGGTGGTGAAGGCCAATAACAGAGAACACAAATAGAAATGTGACCCAAACCCACTTCCCTGGTTTGCAAATACAGTCTTTCAAGACATTCTGCCATGTCCTATATTCCCAAATCCCATACCTCCCCCGATTCTTCTCCTCAAAGGACCTTCTGCTGAATGCTGCCTCCCTCCCTTTCCAGGACCCTCCCCGCCCTCCTCACGTAGGCCATGGCAGCCAGGTAAAGAGTATTTTTACCCCCATGATTTGGACCCCAAGAAACCCATGATTATAGTTTCAAATATATTTACCAAAAATTCCAACATTATCTGGGATATATATATTCATTCTTCCAGAGTGACTCCCAATAAGCCAATTTCACTCCATATTCAATGTTCTATAGACTATAAATTGTTTCTAAAGTTTTCACCATTTATTTTTATACTTTTTCAAAATTATTTTTATTGGAATAGACTCTCTTCTGAATTCTGTAGTAAAAATGTGATTTATCAGCTTTTGCACATAAAAAGTTTTACCGAACTTCCTTCTCCTGCTGTGAATGCTCTGTTGTATTTTATTTCTGGGTCAAATCTTTCCAGATGTAAGTTTTGGCAAGAATACTTTATTCTTCCATCAAATTTTAGTTACTAGTAAAATTTACAATGTGCAACTTAGATCACAGTGATTTTATTCAGTTTGAGGGATTGATTATCAAGACTAATTTTTCCTTACTCAATCTTTACAGTCTTTAGTGTTTTAAAAATCTGTAACATATTGCAGTGTGCTTTTAGGCACTTTTAGTTTTATTTTGATTATTTCTAACAATCTACAAACTCATCTTTCTCATTTATAAAATGAGAATGATCATAATAGTAGTGTCCCTCTCATGGGGTTACTGTGTAGATTAAGTGGGCCAAACCATAAAATCACTTAACTCAGTGCCTAGCACAGAAGGTGTACTTAATAAATTATTCAAGTTCCAATTCCTAGCACCCAAAGTCCTTCATGATCTGCCTCTCCCTCCCCCATACCTCCCTAGACCCATCTCCCTTCCACTCTCTCTGTTCCAGGGCCCTTCATGCTGTTTATTCCTGGATGCCTTCACACAGACTGATTCTTCCACTGAGAAGTGTCTCCCATCTTCCTCCATCCCCTCCCTCCACTCAGACCCCACTCTAGCTAATTCCTGTTTTTCCTTCAAAATGCAATTCAACTTTCATTTCATGTACAAAGCTTTCTTGGTCCTCCTCGACCTGAGTTGCCTTTCGGACCCTCTCTCCTTCTAGCCTATCTTAAGGACATTAACAGTGTTTTGTCTGTCTGTCTGTTTGTTTGTTTGTTTTCAGTGTCTACGGTCTAATAAGTGCCCAATAAAGGTTAGCTGAATAAGTGAGTGTACTCAAACATCTTTTCCTTCCCTACTATAACATCCTCATATTCCCCCAATGCTCTTTCCTTCTTTTTTCCTTCTTTTCCAGTCACTTCCTGAGTAATCTCCCCCATCACTCCCAAGTAAAAGTCACTCTATTCTACACTCTTCAGATTGTTACTATGTCCCAAAGGATAGCAGAAGGAAAAACCCTTTTAGAAAGTCCGCCAACTCAAAGGAAAAGGGGGGGGCGGTTCACACTTAATAATTTCCCTGCACAAAATCTTTTGGTGGCTTTTCCTTAACCTTGTTATGAGATCTCAAAGCCTCATGATGGCTGTACAAGCCCTATACTCTAGCCTCTGCCCACCCCTCCAGTCTTATTTTATAGCATTTGGCCTCTTGCTCCCAGCAGTTTGGCCACACAGGCTTCTCCAGTCCTCAGATGCACCAAGCTCCCTCCTCCCTTAGGGTCATTGCCCACATTTTTCCCATATCTTGAGAACCCTGCTTCACCCACACGTTCTTTTTAACTGGATGATGCAGGAGTTTTATTGCTCTGGGTGGAGAGTGGGCAGGAGAAGGGATCCAAAGCTTAGAAATATGGATGCAGGATTGATGGTCCCAAGTTGAAGATGGTTCCACCTTATGGGTTACATTTTTGCTGTATAAAAGGACCACTGACAGCTCCTGAAAGGGAAGTGGCAGTGACACGGACTTTAAAAGTGTGATAGTTTTGAAATAACTACCAAAAAATAAAACAGATGAAGGAAATAGAAAAACAGTTAAGCAAAAGTAAGGGCTATTATAAAGAGTAAATGAGACAATATATATAAAGTGCATGGCACATCGTAGGCACTGAATAAATCTTCATTTCCTTCTCCCCTCCTTCCACCGACTTTAATGGAAGAAATTGTCTTATTCATATTTGTATCCTCTGTCACTGCACATACTGCATGCTCAATTTGTGTTAAATTGATTCTAAATCTTCACACGTAGTAGGTGAGATATGCTTTTGTAGAACTGGACAGAATCTGTTACTTTCCCCCAGAATTTTGCTGCTATTGTCAGAGAGGTAGCTGGTGTGGTGAGAAAAGATCTCTTGTATCTCTTGATACAGGACTAACTAAACTTCAGAGAACCTGGATCCTCGGGCCAGGAAAAAGTGTTGTGAACTTTACATGTCATTCCGTCTGTCTCCAAGTCTTGATTTCCCCACCTGCTAAACTGGGATATACCACCAAAACATGATAGTAAGATAACCAACATAGCATACAATCTCAAAGGCTGAAAAATTTGATGTAATCCTTTGGGGAGGTAATTTTTCACAGTATCAAGAGCCATGGCTGAGTACAGTGACTTGCACCTGTAATTCCAGCACTCTGGGAGGCCAAGGGAGCATCACTTGAGCCCAGCAGTTTAAGATCAGCCTGGGCAGCATAATGAGACCCCGTCTCTACAAAAAAGTCAACAAAATTAGCCAGGCATGATGGCAAACACCTGTAGTTCGGCTACTCTGGAGACTGAGGCAGAAGGATTGCATGAACCCAGGAAGTCAAGGTTGTAGTGAGCTGTGATTGCACCACTGCACTCCAGCCAGGACAACAGAGTGAGACCCCAACTCAAAAACAAAAACAAAAAAAAGAGCCAAAAAATACTCATACCCATTGACCTAGGCATCTCATTTCCATAAATATATTCCTCAAGAGGGATTTCCACCCTTTTTCTATTCTATTACCCAAATGCTCCCATGGCCGGCACATTCCTAGATTAAGAGCTAAAGCTTATTTAAGCTAGGATGTGAATCATGTGCAATTCTCATTTCTTTGCCACTCAGCGAGGCACATTCCAGTAAAGGAAGCTATTCTGGAAATCATCTGAATTAAGGAAATAAATGCAATATTTCACTTATTAATAAGTTGGTTGCAAGTTCCTCAACTCATCAAGACAAAGCAGTATCTTGGCATTTAAGCTGAGAAATGCCATCCGTATGAAATAACTCAAAGGGACGAGAAAATGCATATACATATGAGTTGAGTTGACAGGCCATAATAATAGTAATTATATCAACTCGTTCATATCCATTCTCTTGTTGCCTCCTCATGAAAATCCTGTGAGGTAGATAGGATGGAATTATACCTTCTGTTTTCCGGGTGAAGACATGGGATTATATTCATTCAAAATAAGTTGCAAGCCAGGCATGATGGATAGAGGACTTGGGGGGGGGGCGGTCACATGGCCTGAACTCCTAACATTATCTGGTTGTGAATCCTTGGGGATGTTACTTCAACTCCCTGAGTCTCCTTTTATTCAAACTGCTTCCAAAGTCACTGAGTAGTTCAAATAGGGTACCAGATGTGAACACGTTTTGAGATGTAAACACCATATGAAGGTGATGTGTCTTACAGTTTTCTGGCTCTGTCCTGAGTCAAGGCCAATGTCCAAACACTGGCCTTCCCCACTTCTGTTAGCAATACTCTAGGATTTCTAGTCAGTCTGTATATTGACACACCTAAGGCAAGGATGAAACGTGGCCATAACAAGGCAAAATAAATATTTATTAGAAATCAAAAAAGCATTTCTTCAATGGCACTGAGATGTTCTTACTCTTTATATGATTTCTTTCTTGAACATAGAGTTTCACACACACACACAACACTAAGAACAAGTATGTAAATTAGAAATTACAAGGATCAGGCACATTCAGTGAGAATGGAGTGACAATTCTGTGTTTGGAACCAAGTTCACAGTAAAAAAAAATCAATGCAGAAATCAAGTATGGCTTACAGGCCCAGATGATGGCCCATCTACCTGGGTCTTGCCCAGAGCAAAAGGACACAGTTCACCAGGCCTTGAGGAATGAAAGGTACGTCAATAATACTGAGCTCTCTTAAGCAGGAGGCTTCTAAGAGCTTAATGACTTCACAGCACAACCTTGAGCACCTTCTTCCACATTCCAGGAGGAAGGTAATACCCTTTTTATTCCAGACAGACACATCACATAACGTCTAGAATAATGAATTCTTCCTGAGGACAACTGTAGCTAAGACAGCATTTGCAGCCAAAGCCACTATGTGAGCCTGGAAGATCCCATCCCTAGAAAACGCCTTCCCCTTAAATTAGTGAAATGTAAATCATGGAGTCCTGATAGACCTATGGGTTCGGTGGTGTGTGTGTGTGTGTGTGTGTGTGTGTGTGTATGTGTGAGAGAGACAGATTTTGTGTACACTAGAATTTTAAACCAGTTATAGGGACTATGTTGACTACCAAATGAGTCATCTGAGCAAAACGTCCTACCCCCTGACATATGCCAACAACAAAGATAGACTCAAATTTACCGAGTAACTTGGCTTTAAAAATAATGGTGTAGGGGGATATCTGTGATCCAAGAATCAGGACACAGCATTCATAGCTCTGATAATGACTTCCTGCATGATTTTGAACAAGTACACATTCCTTTCAGATTGCTAATCTCCAGGGGGAAATGAGGGAAGTGGTCCTTTGACTCTGATGCTTCTTGACTCATTGTTTCCCTTTGCCTTGGCAAACTTAAACTTACCTAGGCTCAGACCTTCTAGGCTGAAAGTCTTTAGAGATGCCACTGTTGGGAAGAATATCCAGTAAGAAAATGGTCTCACTAACAAATTCCATCCACAGAGAGCAGCACTCCATAATGTGTGAGAAGACATAGATCCAGTTATTGATTTCCGTTTGCCTAACCGTCCAGCTTTTGTTCAAATGAGAAATGAAGAGTCAGATGGATTTATCCATTAATATCCAGGTTGGCTGGGCACAGTGGCTCAAGCCTGTAATCCCAGCACTTTGGGAGGCCAAGGTGAGGGGATTACCTGAGCCCACAGGTTCGAGAACAGCCTGGGCAACTTGGTGAGACCTCATCTCTACCATAAATCAAAAAATTAGCCAGCCATGGTAGCGCATACCTGTAGTTCCAGCTACTTGGAAGGCTGAGGCGAGGGGTTGCCTGAGCCTAGCAGGTTGATGCTGGAGTGGCTGAGAGCATGCCACTGCACTCCAGCCTGGGTGACAGAGTGAGACTCCAACTCAAAAAAAATTAAAAATTAAAAGTATCCAGGTCAAAGCAATTCTGAAATTCCTAGCTCCAGAGTATAGAGCATGGTACCATGGATTCAAATGACTGCCCTTCAAACCAGGACATCTGCTTAGGATATATTCAAGTAGGTAACTCCACATATGCAATGCTGATTTGTAGAATCTCCAGGCTGAAAGGGACCTTAAACTTCATCCAACTATCATCTTCAACAACATCCCTCATAAGAGCTCAAGCAGCTTCTGCTTAAACATCTCCAATGTCTAGAGCAGTCACTGGACTGAATCAAGCTAAAATCTCCAGTTCTTTTACTAGTTCTGCCCATCTGGAATGCATCTGCTCCTTCTGCCCCTAGGACAGTACTCAACTTTTCCATTCTCCAGAGACACATACCCTTTCCCCACAGAGTTTGGTATGACCACTGTGGCTTAGCACTCTAGTTGACTACTCAGGTCAGCTGGGAGTGCAGGGACTCCTGCAGGTTGTGAAGCCCTCAGCACTGTGTCTTCTGCCCGCCTCTCCCCAGCTGGGCCTATTAGGGGCACAGAGGCCAAGTCCCTACCTGCCCAGCTAGGTCGGCATGCAGAGCAGCCCATAGCAGAGAAACCAGCCCTGGACTCTTCGGTTTGCCAATCACCATGTTATCTAAAGACTAAATTTCAAGTTATGCCATTTAAAACTACAATTTATGGTTACTATTTTTATAATTCCACTTCAAAAATTCCCACATGAACCTTTCACCAGCTGATGAAGGCAGAGTAGATGTTCTGATTGTTTAGGCCCCAGTTACCTAGAAAATTCCTTCATATCCACTTTGCTTTTGCTCATAAACTGACTGTAATTTCAGGGGACGAACATCAGAGGATAAGGATCTAAAAATAAGCCCCAAGTCTTGGCAAATGCTCCTCTCTCACAAGCTTTCCCTTCAGTTTCAGAATTCACAGTTTAAAAAATACTTCATACCAGAGCATTTCAGGCATTTTGTTAAATTCCCCACGAGAAATACTGAGGTATGCTAGTAACCTCTGAGATTTAAGACCATGTTGGTAAGAGCAGCTGTTATTTCTGCTTCAGCTGAAGCCATGATGCCAGCATGCAGACAGGCACTATTGCAGGACTGGAACAAGGAAAAGAGCCAAGCCCTTTCACCCAGATTGCTGCGGCCCAGCAGGACCTGCCTGGCGTGTCTCATGTGGACTTTTGTGTGTGTGAAGAAAAGCTTTTTGTCTTCCTCTGGTCACTCTGAGGCCAAGTATATAGTACTTACATGCAGCCTAAAAATCTCTGTTTCAGCTGTTAAAATCATATACTTAGGCTGTAATAAGTTTCATTCTTAACTGAAATGTCTTTTCTATATTGAAAATAAAAAACGCTGTGTTAATCACGCTACTAAAAATATCTCTTGGTTTGAGATAGTTTGAACCTTGAAGGGTCGAGGACACTCATTCCAAGAATGGCTTCCTGTTCCCTGAAGGTTCCGGAAGGGCATTTCCATAGCCCACTCCCCTCCTCCCCCAGGATATCCGGCTTAGCTCAGTCCCCTGCACATTCTGGGATGGGATCAAGAGGCAATCAAATTCAGGCAACCCAGTCATAGTCGGAGAGATGACAGAAGGTGTGGGCTGCGATCTGGCTGATAGAGAGACGTTGGCAGGAGAAAAGACTCCTATCCCTACTCCTCAATCCCTTGCGCCTCTTGCCTGTACCCAGCTCTCCCAACCATGCCAACCTGCAGTTGGAAAAAACCAGAGGCTTCACCCAGGACTTCAGGAGACTCCCAGGCTCCAGACTGCTGGCCATGGGTTTGCACAAACAAAATCCAGGGTGCTTCCCACTTGGAAAACTGACAACAGCCTCTCAGTTCAGACACCAGCTCTGCCTGAGGGTGTTTTCTCCTTTAGGTTGTCAGAGCCAGGGATCGCCGCTCTGCAGAGCCCCTCAGCACGGAGTCCAGGGCTCAACCTGCAGCATCAGATGGCCCATGCACACATCAGCTCTGGGTTCTGCTTCTACACCGAAGTTTCTGGAAATTCTTCTATTTCCTCAAATGCATTGAGAGTGGTTTTGCTGTTGCTCCTGGAAGAATCTTGGATTTTGTTGCAATCCGCTTTCAAAAAAAAAGAACAGCTATTTTAGAAATACACTGCTCTGTGTGCTGTGTTTCCATTAGGCACCACCCAATTTTTAAAGGTTGTTCTGTTGTTCCAATAGGATTATAAAATGTCAAAGGTAGAAGGGACCTTAGAACCAATTTTATTCAGTCCTCTCATTTTAGAGATGAGAAAAGTCAGGGCCCTCAGACTTAATCTGCCCCAGGTCACACTGTCTCAGATAAGAGCAGACCCCATACCATCTCACAGTAACAGTACCTGTCCGCTTTACGGGTCCTGGATCTTCATTAAGGAATGAGACATGCGTTTTCCATTCAGTCCACTTCACCTCATTGATCCTGAAAGTGTGATCATCATTCTCACTACTTCACCACTGCACCTCATTAATTGCAAACAAATCTCACTATGTATGGAATGTCCTAGTTTCTAGATAGCTTCCCTTCTGTCCATCCCAGGGATCAGGAGCACCCTTGCCCCCAGGTGGTCACACCTGGATTATTAGGGTTTGAAATCTGTCCAAATCTCCATTTCCCCAGGTCTCAAGAAATCAGATCTCCTCCCAGTGTGTAGAACTCAGAAATCCTGCACATTGTTCAGACAGGTATAAAAGGTTCATCTTCAGACACCAGCAGCTGTGCCTGACTGGTGTGAGGGAGCCCACAGAAGAAGAAAGGGAGGGATGGGGGGAGGGAGGAGGAGAGGGGAGGGAGGAGGAGAGGGGAGGGAGGAGGAGAGGGAGGAAGGGTGCACCTGGGCAGAGGTGTGAGGATTAAATGTACAGAAGTTTAATTAGAGCTGAGGAAGCTCAAAGAAAAGGTGGTTAGAGTTCACACCCCAATAAGAGTGGGCAGCATCTAAGGTGTTAGAATACAACTAGAGACATAGGTTTGACTTAAATTCATGTTCAGAGAACATCTTTAGAGTGAGGATGTCAAAATCAGAAATATTTGTTAGGGGAACAACGGCAGACAGAAATTTGGGCTCCAAGGGATGGAGACGTCAGTCAGAGAAGTAGGTTAAAATATAGTTATACTCAAAAAAGGTGGTCTGCAGGGCCAGGCACTTGGGTCTGGGGTAAGAAGAGGTGAACTTATCAGAAAACGTGGTCACGGGATATGCAAGAACTTTTTAAAAAATCAAAAAGCTTGAGATCTGTCAGAAGGAGCCGTCTCATTTTCCATCTGCCAGTCATAAAATGTGCTTCAAGACCCCCAGTGTCACATGAACCTACACAGGGTAGACAACAAGACAAAGTGCCACGTTGACAAATATTTTCTGAACCAGACGCTAGATGGGGAGAGACCTCCAAAAGGGCAGAGAGCCTAAGCACACTTCTTCTGAGGAGGAGGAGGCTACAGGACAGAAAGTGCAGCAGTTATGGTAAGTGGGCAGCAGCACTGTTTCTCTAACATCCCATTCACTGCCTGCTCTCTTTCTACCACCCCAAAGACTTCTCCCTGTGTTACCGTAGACACAGTCGGAAATCTTCCTCTGCCACTTTACACAGCTCTCCCATCCGGAATCTACTCCTCAGCCATTCCGGTAGCATCTTCTCATACTCCAAGATGGTCCTGGCTCTCTAGGGGACAAAAACGAGCCTAAGGAGCGTGCATGTACACACACATACATGTACACAAGCACACATATCATTGCATACATAAACACAAGTGCATGCACTCCATTACACACACCATCAGACAGTTCACTCTGCCCTCACTGGACGCTTAATGCATAGATCCCGAGGGTTCAGCTAATCTATAGAATTCAAAGACAAAAAAGCAGACAGTTTGGGAAAGATGTTCAGATTGCCTTAAGCATGACATAAATAATATTTCTGGAAGTCCAGGAGCTTCCTAACTGAAAGTGTTAGGATCTTGGAACACCATGGTAGAGGAAAGTTCAGAGAGCATGTAGTCCCTACCCCTTCCAGGCTTGGAATCCCCACTGTGGTTTCCCTGTCCGTAGTTGTCCAAATTTCTCCTGAACAGTATCAACAATCGAATTAATAAGGCCTTAATTAGAAGCTTCCACGTGTCAAATCAAAGCTCTTCTCCATCTCAGTTCTGTCTTCTGAGGCCACAGAAAGGGGCTGTTGCCTCTCTCATGGGTGGCTCTGCAGATGTCTGAGGGACTCTCACCTTCTTCAACCCAAGCTCCAACAACCATTTCTTGTGAGGCAGCCTCCTGTCCTCTCCCAAACCTGGTCACCACCTCCAGACCCATTGTATGGGTTGGTGTCCTCAGCACGTGAGGAGTGTTAAGGCCAGGATGGAGTAGAGTAGAAATGCTGTCTCTATTCTCTTCAACTCCATACTCCTCTTGATAAAACCTAAGGTCGTACTTCAACATCCGCATGTCACACTGTCAACTCTGAGCACAGCATCACCGTAAGCCTGAGTTTCTCTCACAAGTGCTGTTGTTCAGTCACACTCCCTTGATCCCACATTCAAAGGACCTAGACTAAGGCTTCCTCAAACTTGACCCACCACAGGGGATCCTATGCAGATTCCCAGGCCTCACCCTAGCATCCCTCAGGTGCGGTTGGCTGTCAACGACCATATATTGAACCGAGTGCCTAGGGAGGCGCCCACACCGGGTTTCCCGTCCAGGCTCACCTGTAGACGCCAGATACGCTCGCTCTCCTTGGAGACATTCTCCACAGTCTCTCCCATCAGGGCAATGAGCATATTGAGGAGGAGGACAAAAGTGAGGATGACGTAGGTGATGAGCAGGAACAGAAAGAGGATGGGGTACTTGGAGTTCTGCTGGATGTTCAGGTCACCCAGGCCTATGGTGAGCTTGAAGAGTTCCAGCACTGCGTCGCTAAAGCTGCCGTAGGAGCTACAGTCCTTGTTGTCCTTGGAACACTTCTCGATCAATGACGCCAGCGCTGGGGAGACATAACAGAGTGTTCTCTTCAGCCTCTCTGCCTGGCTAGTTACCTGATAAGCATGTGTGCCTGTACCCACACATGCCCACGTGCGTGCACACATGCCTACACTGCAGGCCTGCTGCCTCCTTCTCTCCAAGAGCATGCTTGGAAAACGCTAAGCATGGCAAGTGCCTCCCTGGTAGCTAACATCTTTGTCATGAGGCTGCTGTGCGCTTTGTCATTCTGGCATCTGTATAAAGTGCTTTACAAATGTGGGAGTTACTATTATTTATAAATCAATTACCTACTCCAAATCCAAGTAAGAACACGATATATACAAACAAGAACTTCAGAACATCATGCAAAATGACCTATAAAGAAAGAAACATGATTCAAGGGTAAGGTTTGAGTACATTCACTGTACACTGATCCCCTTCCTTCTTCCCACCCTCTCTCACTCCCAACCCTAGTCACACCTTCACTCAGGCCCTTCTTCCAACCCCCTAGCCCAGTCTTCCTGATGCTCCACAGCCCAGCTCTGGGCCCCACCTCCTCCAAGAAGGCTTCTGGTTCCTGTCCCAGCCCTAGGTTCTCTCCTGGAACACAGTTTTCCTCTGACTCACTGCTTTGCTCTGTACCTTTCCCTGTAGGGTCTCACATCTAGAATCCTTACACTTCCTGGGGGCAGTGGCGTGCTAGAGCCAGCTCAGACCAGCTTGCAAGGGCTGATTGTTAATTTTGCATGAAGTTTTATGAGCTGGTTGTTACACACAGCCATTACTAATAATTAAATCAAACTTTCAATTGTAAGATGCATAAGTTCTGGGAACCCAACGTAGAGAATGAGACAATAGTTAACATATTATATTATATACTTGAAATTTGCTAAAAGAATAGGTCTTAAATGTTCTCACCTTATACACAAAAATGGTGACTATGTGAGGTGATGGATGTGTTAGCTAACTTGAAATTGGTAATCATGTCACAACTTATATGTATAGCAAAGCCTTCCCTTGTATACCTTAAATGTATACAACTGCATTTGTTGATTATACTTCAGTAAATTGACAAATTGGGAGGAAGGAAACTATTATTTGTATTTCAAAAATATTAAACCATATAAACTTATAATCAAATAAATTGAAAGCAAAGATAATAAATATTCAAAACTCATCACTTCCTAGTTATTTTACTACACTTTACAGTTATCTATGTTTTTGAGACTATTTTCATCTATTGTAGCCATATGGTGGAAACACTAAAGAATGTTGTATAACTGCATCTCTTCCCAACTCCAAGTTTAGTGATATAATGTTGGGAGCTGGAAATCAGCTATGGTAGGAGTATAGTAGTCCTCCCTCACCCACAGTTTCACTTTCTGCCTTTTTGATAACCTGTGGTCAACCACGTCCCAGAAACATTACATACAACAAAATATTTTGAGGCTGGGTGCAGTGTCTCATGCCAGTAATATCAGTACTTTGGGAGGCTGAGGTAGGAGGATCACTTGAACCTAGGAGTTCAAGATCAGCCTAGGCAATAAAAGCAAGACCTTGACTCTAGAAAAAATTTTAAAAATTAACTGGATATGATGGCATGAGCCCGTGTCCCAGCTCCTTAGAAGGCTGGGCAGGAGGACTGCTTGAACCTAGGCATTACAGGTTGCAGTGAGCTATGATAGGGCCACTGCACTCCAGCCTGGGCAACAGAGCAAGATCTTGTATTAAAAAAATAAATAAATAAAGATATTTTGAGAGAGGGATATCATATTCATTGTGTATTTTTATGATTGTTCTATTTTATTCTTAGTTATGGTCGTTAATCTCTTACTCTAATTTATCAATTAAACTTTATGATAGCTATATATGTATAGGAAAAACATAACATATTATATAGGGTTTTATACTAGCCACAGTTTCAACCATCCATTGGGGGTCTTGGAATATATCCCCTGCAGATAAGGGAGGACTATTGTATTTATACCATGAAAATTGGCAAACGCTACAAATCAGAGATTGATTAACTCACTGTTTTGTTGAGGTCTAGATCTAGGCTTAAGATAGCGATGAAAAAAAGGCTAATCCAGACTAAACTTAAAAATGTGTCTAGTCTGTAGCCTTTGCATTGTGAACAGCACACAAATATTTTTAAAAATTCATCTAGTATTTGCAAACTATTATCCAATTCAGCAAAGTTGCTCACATCGTTGACAAACAAGTGAAGTTTCAACAAAAGTCTTCATTGTTTCACTTTAATCTTACTGTTTATAAAGAAAAATATTGACCAACATTCCTGTCTGAACAGCACTCCTTTGTCAACTGTAACCATAGGCTGGCATCAGTGCCAGCGTTCAATAAAAAGCAGCAAATTATTCTGAGTCTCAACTGACCCTATGGAATTTATAATCACATGTATTGCCTATGTCATTATTAATATTATTAGTAAATTATGTGCTACACATCCTTTAGCTAGTAAAATTTATAATAAACATGCGTGAGTATATACAATATATTATATTATATAAAGAGAGAGCGTTCACCTTCCACACATGTGCCCAGAGAACTGTTGTTAAATATTTCCCAGCACACCACTGCCCAGGGATGAGAACATTCCTTCACAAAGTATATCCCTTCCCAGTGCTCAACAAGCCTGGACATTTTGGACACTTAAAGCCTGAGCAGAAGCAAAGGGAACCCATGGCATTCAGAAGAAGAGCAGTGGCCTGCCTTGGTAAGCCCCTCTTCCTCTCCAGACTCTACTCTCCCCCTGTGAAAAATGGACATCCCCTGAGGACCCTCCACCTGTGCAGCACCCAACGCACCTTCTGGATCATGACGCTGTACATGCCCATGGACTGGAACCCCCGCGTGTAGTAGAGCATATTCGCCCAGCCCAGGGCCATGGCCAGCACGAGGCAGGCAAGGTACTCTTTGTAGGCAAACAAGTACAAGAAGACAGACAGTATCACAAGCACAGCTTGGATAAAACTGTTCAGGAGACACAGGAGACAAGGGCCTTACTTACTTCTCCTCAGCATCAGGACAGAGATATTTAGACCCCCCAAACCTCCCTTAAACCCCCTGAACGGTCACCCTGGTGGCTGATGCTGAAGAGACAGATAAGGCTGGCTCTGATCCACTCAACTATAGTTCAAATCCAGCCTTGCAGACTACCTAGAGCTCCAAAAGCCAGTGGTGGGCTAGTTGTGGCTGATGGGGATTTAAAGAAAAATACAGATGCACAGGGCCCCAGAAGATTCTAGGAGGCCACATAGCTTTTAGATTACCCCCATGACTTCTGATTCCCACATGACACTGGGGAAGATCAATGATTGCATTTTTAGCCAAAATGACAAAAGCTGCCAACATCTATACTTGTGAGCCAGTCATAACAAAAAAGGCCCCCCCAAACCTACTTTTTTTATCTTTTAAAAAAAGTACAATGTATGCTAAATAAAATAAGCCAGTTCTAAAAAGACCAATACTATACAAGTCCACTTATATGAGGTACCTAGAATAGTCAAATTCATAAATATAAAAGGAAAAATGGTGATTATCTGGGGGGAAGGGGAATAGGAGCTGTTTAATCAGTACCGAGTTTCAGTTTTACAGGGTGAAAAGAGTTCTGAAAACCACACAACAATGTGAATGTGCTTAACAGTACTGAGGTGTACACTTAAAAATGGTTATGATGGTGACTTTTATGTTATGTGTATTGGCAAAATGCACTTACAATTTTTAAAAAATTTAAGTACAGTATATACCAAACAGACAATATCAAAATCAACTCCTAAGCAGTACATACCCCATCAGTTATGCAGGCATCTAGTCAAAAACCCTCTCTAGCCTGTTTCCAGCATTATAAAATCTCTAACCAAAGTTAGGACATGAGCAAACTTGTTTTTCTCGTGCAGTGAAGAACAAACGTCTGGATGATGAATTTCATTTGGGACTGAAATGAGGAGAGATGTCTACACCTTCCTCTATACTAACAAAACAAGTAAGAAGCAGAAGAGCAGGACAATGGAGTTTTTTGTCTGCATTAAAACTGGAGACTGTATAAATGGATTTTTCTCTGGGATCACAATACTTTCTCACAGATGACAGACTTGCACATGGCTTGCATCATGGGGCAGGGCTGCACCTGACCTCTCCACTTCTTAGTCTCTGGGTGCTCCACCTGCCCACAGGGATGAAGCACTCAGTTCATGCCTCTGGAAGGCAGGTACATATTTAATAAAACACTTAGGGATTTGGAAACATCAGGTCAAGATTCAAAGTCCTATAGACTCAGTGTCTCAGAAGAGAGACTCCAGTGGGATCTATAGGGCTGTGGCGCCAACATTCTTCAACCCAAGCTACAGATTCTGTCTGTTCCCATGGCAGTAATGCTAAATCAACCTCCATTCATTTAGAGAGAGACAGTTTCGTAAACCTGTGATGTCAGCTGCACATGACCTCATTCAGAGAGGCTGCTGAACTGGGCTTTCTGGCTAGGGCTCGTGGTCACCAATCCTGCACTAGCTTGTGGCAAAGATGACCAACAGGCTAGAGCTTTGACACCACTGAGGCTCTGTGTGACTGTGAGTGACTCACTTCCCTGCTCTGAGAGCTTCAGTGGTGTCTGTAGGTGAAAGTCAGTGATTTCTCAGGTGACTTCCAGTCCTGATCTGCCAAGGTCCCAGATGGTAACTTCTAGGCCCCATGTAATGAAAAGGGGCTGCCCTGGAACATTCCCTTGTTAAAAAAAAAAAAGAAAAGCTGGGCTCGGTGGCTCAGCCTGTAATCCCGCGCCTTTGGGAGGCTGAGGTGAGTGGATTGCCTGACCCCGCGGGTTCGAGAACCGCCTGGGCAGGCGAGACCTCATCTCTACAATAAAATTTTTAAAAAATTAGCCAGACGTGGTAGCGCGCGCCTGTAATTCCGGCTACTCGGAAGGCTGAGGCGGAAGGATCACCGGAGCCCAGCAGGTCAAGGCTGTGGTGGCCGGGAGCGGCCACTGCACTCCAGTCTGGGCGACAGAGTGAGACTCCAACTCAAAAAAAAAAAAAAGAAAAGAAAAAAGGAAGCAGGAATGCTTTGCCTTCCATGCCTTCTCCATGATGCCTGCCACTGAAGCTCTGTGATAGGTAGAGTTGGCCATCACTGCCAGCAGATGGTAGGCATCATCCTAAGATTTTCTGATCTTCTCCATGGGCATCTATGTACCTCTCATTAGAAGAGAGAAAGAGATCCTTGGCCATAGAACCATGGCAGAATGACTAGGACATGAGGACGTAGAAGGGTGACTGTTTGAGGGGAACACAGCAGCCACAATACAGGATTTCAGCCCCGCCTGTGAGGTGACGACCAAGGGGACGAACCTACTTACAAGACAAAGTGAAACCAGGCATCTGAGAGGATGGACTGCAGATCCGATGGTCTCAGCAGGAAGATTGCGATGCCCTAAAGGCCAGAAAGGGGGAAAAAAAACTGCACCCTCTTCATGTCCCTCACTGGAGGATGTAAGGAGGGGGTGCTTCCCCAGGACTGAGACTCAGTGAGGGGTGAGCATGTGAAGGCCCGGCCAGAGCCAGGTGAGGGATATGAAAGGGGACCTGTGCCTGGGGGACATAAGCGCCCCCACGGTGAGGGTGGATGCTCCCTCAACTCTTCTTTCCTATCTCACTCCTTGTCCCCATTCTCACCCTAGAACCTGCAAAGCAGCACAGTCACCACAGCTACTTGCCATTCCCCAAATATGGTCGAGCATTACAGCCTCAAGCCTTTGTGCATGCTGTTCCCCACACTCACCCTGTAAAGACCTTGTCCACAGTGTTCTCATGCCCAATATTACCCTACCAGAAAAAGTGCCATCTCTGCCTTCAAGTATCCCTGCCTGCCCTCCCTTCCTCTGAACACTGATCTGACAACAACTTAGGGCCCTTTTCAAAGTCTACCTTAAAGTCTAGATGTTTGTGCCCTTGTTAAATCTTTTACCAGATTGTGATCTCAAAGAGGGCAAACTCCCTCTGTCTCTCATCACCCTCCTCCAGGGCCTCACATATAGGAGATGCTCAGCATATATCTGTGGGTTCATTGGATGGACAGATGGAAGGAAGGATGAACGGATGGGTGGGTGGGTGATGGATGGACGGAGAGATGGTTGGATAAAGAACAGAAGGATGAGTGGGTTTTTGTTTGTTTGTTTTGTTTTTTTAGAGTGGGTATTTGAATGGATGAATGAGTGGCTAGGTCGATGAGAAAGGAAAGGTGATTAGATTGGTGGATGGGCTGGGAGAGAAGGATGGGCCCTGAGTTGCTGGGAGGGTAGATAAATGATAGAGAGTTGGACAGACAGTTGGAGGCATAGAGAGATGAAGTAGATAGACTAGGCCTGCCTTATTATTCCCACATTATAGCTCAGAAATCTAAGGCTTAGAAAGGAAATGCCTCCCCAGAGCCCCATAGCAGCAACAGCAGAACCGGAAGGGATGGAAGCCAACCCAGCTTTCACCTGCCTGCCCCTTGGGGCAGTCTGGCAGAGCTGCGTGGCCCACTCACCTCTTTCACAGAGATGCACATGGCCCAGATGAGCACGAACATCCTCCCTAAGAGCTGCAGCCACCCCATCTTGTGTGACAGAGCCAAGGGGTGTGGCAGGGCCTGGGGAGAAAGGAAGAAGGATGTTCAGGATGGGGAGTGAGGTGGGCAGGGCTAGCACCAGCACTGGAGGAACCAAAACAGGTACGCATGCCAAACCCTCAAGCTAGGCAGCATGAAACCCCATCTCAGAGCAAGAGAAGGAATGGCAGCTCCCTGCCTCTGTACTGACAACTCCTCACACCCCATAGCATTTGTCCTTCCCAGAACCCTCCTATATCCAGATACTCATCAGTTAAATAAAGCTGAGACCCCATGCTCCATGTGATGGATGGGAAACTGAGGCCCGGCATGGTGGGACAGCTGGTCCTCTTCCCATTTCCTGTGGCCCTCACAGCAGAAATGCCCAACCAGTTCTAGGTTTAAACAGAGCCTGGCAGGGTCTGGGTCTCCCAATTCTCCAACTCTCCCCTTAATGTGGGTCTCAGCCCAAGTAAGCACCAGAGACATATTCAGTACCCTAGAAACCGTGAAGGACAGTTGGGGGACCCCAGGCAAATCTCTTGGCCTCTCTGAGCCTCAGTTTTCCTATCTGCACATGGGGCAGCTCCGAGCTCCACCAACCCTGACCATCCCACACCCGTTGCAAGGGGCCCACATACCTTCTCCTCCCGGGGGCGGTAGTACGAGACGAGAGTCAGGGTGATGTTGTAGAAGAAATAAAAGCAGAAGGACAGGAAGAACATGTACTTGGCAAACTTCTTCCACTTCATACGCAACAGAGTGTGCAGGGGCTCCAGGGTAAGCATCTCGTGCCGGTTCTGGGGGTAGAGCACCACCAGTCATGTCACCATGGAGATGAGGGAGAGGGAGGGACCCTTTTCAAAGGCCCATCAGAGCTCTGAGTCAGCACCACCCCTGGCAGAAGGGGCCCATCATTATGCCCAATGGACTGGTTTGGCTGGAAAGGCTGGGGAGGGTGATTTCCGGCTCCTGAGGCTCCTTCCCAGTGTGCTCAGGCAGTGCCTGAGCCACCAACAGGATGATCTGACACTCAGTACAGAGTGAAGGCTGGGGTGGGGGTGTGGTCCCGGGGGTCCAGCCCCCATTTGTGCCTCCTTCACTGTGTGACCTTAGGACAGCCCTGACTCTCTCTGGACTTCAGTCTCCTCATCTTTAAAACTGCTAACAATCCCTTCCCTAATAACCAGGCTGCTGTGAGGGTCCAGGGAGATCCCAGACAAGGCAGACTCTGGGAAGCATGATTCTTAGTAAAATATGAAGGAGGAAGACTTGGCCTGCAGCCTCACTTGCCCCTAAGAGCTAAATACCTCTCACTAGCTGATCTTCTCTCTTCACCATCAGCTGCATTGAGCTCCCCCACTTTACCCTCCTCCAGGAAGGCCCCCTTGACTGTTCCAGTTTTGCACTCTCTGACTCTTGTTTGGGACTAGGTTTGGGGAAGAAAGAATTCCAAGCCTGGCCACATACACCAGCCAGGGGAGTGGAAAAGAAGCAAGATGGAAATCAACACCAACCACCTCATCCACACCACACCCAAGGATTCTGGGGCCAGGGAACCCCCGCACCACCAGGGTCTACAATCCCAGGTCAATTCAGCATCTGCACCAGGCTCTGTCCTTTCTGTGTCTGACTCTGCCCACTGAGGCAAAGAAATGGGGGACACAGGCATGCTGAGGCTAGTGACACAGGGTCTTCACAGCACCCTCTGAGCCCCTGGCCTGAGGTCCAGCCCTCTGCCCCCTCTGACCCCTGTCCCTCCCAGCCTGCCTAAGAAACCCACATCGATGTTAGTGTTGTAGACTATGATTTCCAGCACCGAGTCGTCTGTTGTGGTGTCCACGTTGGTGAGGTCGTAGAGCGAGGATGACACCGGCCCGTATGCCCAGTCGGTGAACTTCCTGGACAGACTCCGGAGCGGCTTCTCCTTGATCTCACGACTGAGGATGTACTTCAGGATCTGAGGACAAGAAAAGGAAAATCTGTCAACCGCAGAACAGGGCTTGGGGCCAACAGAGCTGGGCCAGCCAGAGGTAGGCTGGACCTGGGAGATGCTCCCACCAAGGATGGTTGGGGTCCTGCCTCTGTGCCTGACATCATGTCCCAGCTTTATATGTGCATGGGTGCAAAGTCTGCAGTTCTGTCACCTCACCAGGAGTTGTGCATACCAGAGACAAAAGGTGAGAAGGCCCCTTGCACGATCAGCTCAGAAGTCCTCACATCAGCTGGGGACCCAATTCAGTAAAAAATCCAGGATTTGGTGATTTTTAGAAACAATCTCCATTTGGCTTGGACTTGAGAAGATGCTAGAAGCTTTTGCAGCTTTCTTATCCCACCCTCAGACAAGACTTCTCCAGCTGAGGCCCCCAACTCTGGCCCGACAGGTGGTGCCACAATATACTAGCCTTCACAGGGACGAGCATGGGACCTTTGTAGGTCAGGGATCCTCAAACTCAGCTGCATGTCAGAGTCATTGGGGAACTTTAAACAATCCCAATGAACCAATTAATGAAAACCAAACCTCAGGGGTGGGCCTCAGGAGCCAGTATTTATAAAGCTTTCAGGTGGTTCAGAGCCACTGCTCTCCAGCTCACTAGCTCCCAAAAGCCAAGCCCTGGGTTACCCCAGGGTGGGGAACTGGGCTTCCTAGGACACCAGCCCAAGACTCAAGAAGAGGGCCCTGTTGGGGAGGACAGTGTCAGAGACCTGGCCTCACACAACCCAGTGGGGTTCCCACCCTACCTCTCATGAGAGCCCAGGCAGAGAGCTTCTAGGGTCTTTCCATTCTGAACTCCAACCTCTAAAAGCCCCCAAGGACAGGGTCTGTGTCTGAAGTATTGCTGAACCCTGCACTCTCAACCTGGGCAGCACCTTGAGAAGTTTTCTGAAGGACATTGAATAAACAAGAGAGGAGCCAGGGAGGGTACAAGGGCCTCTCCAAGACTGGCCATGGTAGCGTGTTATCCTGTAGAAAATAAGGGAGTCCTAGGGCCATGTTTTGTACAGGAGACTTCCTCCCTGGGCTGGGTGGCAGGGAGAGCACATGCCTCAGTGGCACGCAGGGAAGAGGGGCCCTTGAGGAAAGCTCGACCTGCAACCACAAGCTGACTGTTCTCAAAGCCCCAAGCTGTGACCCTTGGGGTGGGTAGGAGATAGAGGGAGGCAGGGACACAATGCCTCCTCTGTTGAAACCACTCTCCATCTCCTCCCTCGATAAGAGAATAAATAGGTCCCTTGTGAAGCCCCAGCCGTGACCACTGGTCAGGACCAAGCCCCGCAGGGCAGCTGACTGGGAGGCGAGTGCCCTGAGGCTGGCACAGCTGGGATTACTCAACAGTTGCCACCCCCAGTGTCCTCCTGCAGTTTCCCAGGAGCCACAGTCCCCTCCTAGCACTCAGAGACAGTTAAGCTAAAGAACAGATTTAGACTCCAGGGTCTGCCCCTGAGAAGAACCCTCAGACCAAGACATGACTCCAGCCCCTGATAGAGATCTAAGCTCCAAGGTTCCCGGCTAAGCCTGGAGTTCCTCAGCCACATCACACAGGCAGAAAGGGCCACACCCTCTGCTGGGGATGTGGCAGAGTTTCAACCTGACAGGCTGGGGTCTGCCCATTATCAGGCAACAGCAGCCCATTGGCTCTGGACCCAGAGCAGTTGTTCTAGAACTCCTTATCCTCCCTCATGAGAGGACAAAGGCCCCCAAGGGCCAAACACTCAGCTCTGTTTGAGCACCTCACCTCGCAGGAATTCTCAGCCACAAAACGTGTGAGCTACTATGTCACCTCAGCCTTCAGGATCTCTGCCCCCCACCCCAGCCTAGCCCCGGGACAAGAGATGGAAACATGGTGTATTAGGGACTGATGTCTAGAGTGGGTGCACATGCGGCCTCATGCTGGCTCTGAGCCACCTCGGGCTGCACCAGCACTTCCGGACCTAAGGCTGGGACCTTCCCAGGGCTGAGGCTGTGATCTGTAGAGCCCCAGAAGGGCCCCCAGGGCCAGCAGATTGGCAGCTATGCCTCTCTGACCTTCTGCCGTCCAGTCCCTGCGGCCCTACCTCAGACTTGCCCATCTTGGCAGCCAGCTGCAGCGGTGTGAGGCCGTCATTGTTGCGCATGGTCTCCAGCTCCCAGCTGCCACTTCTCAGCAGGATCATGTCATACATGCGCTTCACGAAGTCATTCTGCGTCTTGAAGTCCTCTGCCACTGTCACCAGCGCATGTAGGATGTTGTTTCCCCGAGAGTCCTGCGAGGTGATATCTGTCTGTTCATATTCCATCAGCAGCTGCACGATCTCCGGCTGGTTGGTACATGCCGCCAGGGCCAGGGGTGTCTCACCTGGAGGACAGGAAACACTGCAACTCAGTTCTCTCATGGGCCAGAAGCAGTGTGCCCCAAACCCCAGGACCAGGACACGTATCTTGGCCATCTCAGCGGGATTGACCCTGACGGTCTCTGGTCCTCTCCCCACACCTGGCTTTTACAGGGGAAGATTGAAGCTGGATCACCGCAACAGCCTCCCAACAGATCCCCCTGTTTCCACCCTGGTCTGCTTATGACTACTCAATGCTCAGGACAGCAGACAACAGACCAACCCTGTTAGCAGGGGAGTCCCACCTCGCCCATAATGAAAGCTCGAGTTCCAACAACAGCCCACAGAGCCCTACATTTTCAGACTTCCTCTTCTCCACTGTCCCTCACTCATTCCCCCTCCAGTCACACAGACTTCTTCCTCTTCCTTGATCACTCTGGGCATCGGGCTTCTTTGGAGCCTTTGCACAGGCTGTTCCCTTTGCCTGCAGATATCTGCATGGTTTGCTCCCTCACCTCCTTCAAGTCCTTGCTCAAATATCACCTTTCCAATGAGTCATGCCAACCAGCCTATTTAGAATTGAAACCTGCCTTCCTCCCGTGCCAGACAGAACTGCCAATTCCCCTTCCCCTGATTTACTTTGCATTTTTCGAAAGCACTTTTTATTTTCTAGCATTGTACCTAATATGCTTATTTATTATAGTTATTACTGATGGTCTCTCCCTGTGTAGCATATATGTTCCATGACAGCAGGAATCTCTGTTTCATTCACTGATATATTTCAAGCATCTAGAATAGTGTCTGATATAGATAGCAAGTGCTCAATAAATGTTTGTTAAGAAAAGGAAAGACAAGGGACTCATACAGGGTCACGCAGCAAGCCTAGGACAGAACCAAGACTGGATGCCACGTCTCCTGCTGCTGCCCTCTCTTCATCCCACCCCACAAATGTTTCCCAACACTGACTCCAGCCAAGTTTCATGTGGATTAAAAAACTACCAAGAGGCCAGGTCCAGTAGCTCACTCCTATAATCCCAGCACTTTGGGAGGCTGAGGTGGGAAGACTGCTTGAGCCTAGGAGTTTGAGACCAGCCTGGGTGACACAGCCAGACCTTGTTGCTGTAAAAAAAAAAAATCCAAAAATTAGCCAGGTGTGGTGACACACACCTGTAGTCCCAGCTACTTGGGAGACTGAGGCAGAAGGAGCCCAGGAGGTCAAGGCTGCTGTGACTGGTGATCTTGCCACTGCCCTCCAGTCTGGGTGACAGAGTGAGACCTTGACTCAAACACACACACACACACACACACACACACACACACACACACACACCCCAAGAAGAAAAAATAAATAAGTGGTTGTCAGGCAAGGACTAGGATGAGAGGAGGGTTGACTACAAAGTTGCACAGAAAAATTCTGGGGTGTGATGAAGTCATTTGTTCCCTGTCCTGATCGTAGTTGTGGCTATACAACTGTATGTGTTTGTGAAAATGAACAGAACTGTACACTAAAACTGGTGAATTTCACTTTACGTAAATTACACATTTTGATTTTTTTCCTTCCTCCAGAGCATCCTAATCCCAATTGCTTTTGGACTCTCTAATTTATCAGGCAAGGAATTTTCATCTTCTCACTCTGGACTCTCTACACAGTCCTGAGATCCACTGGGCACAGGAGACAGGCCAGAGTTGGAAGCCAGGACACCTACAGCCAATGCCCTACTACACTGGGCAAGTTATTTTCCTTTTCAGAACCATCTCCTCACCTGTAAAATGGACTGTCCAGGAGGACGCCTCTAAGACCACCAGATAACATGCTCTGAATATGTGCTCCTCCAGCCCACCCCATCTCCCCAGTCCCTCCTTCTCTGATCCTCTCTGCTGTCCTGCTCTGGACAACCCAGCCTCGTTCCAGTTTCCTGCTCTGACCCCGCTGCTGGCAAGAGCTTCTTAGGGCCGGATCGCCGGGGCGGAGCACAGAGCTGGGCGGATTGCCCCTCCCCGCCCCTCCTCCTTCGTCCCTCCCTCCTCTCCTTGCCCCTCCTCCCTCTCCTTCTTCCCCCTCCTCCCTCCGCATTTCTCCCAGACCCTGAATCTCCAGGCGGCGCCGGGGCGGTACTCACCGAAGTAGAAGCCCTCGTGCTGGTACTTGGGGTTGAAGAAGACCCCCTTGGCGTGGGCGTTGACGTCGGCCCCTGCCGCGATGAGCACCGCGGTGATGTCTCCCTGCCGCCGCTCGATGGCGATGTTCAGCGCCGTCTGTCCTACGGACCAGGCGGGGGTGGATGGGGTCGCTCAGCGCCAGGGCCCTGGGGTGATAGGCTGACCTTCTCTGACGGGTTCCCCTCGCTGGCCTCCATACCCGCCACAGAACCATGGGGGAAATAATAACTGCTGTGTGTGTCACTGGCTATGTAGAGTCTCAACTTCATACTTTGCTGCATTCATTCTTGCGCAGACGCAAGGCGTATTTACGGAGCGCCTGCTGTGTGCTCCGGTGCCAGGCGCTGGGGTACAGCGGTGCACAGGATGCAACTTTGATTCTTTTCCTCAGGAAGCTCGCTGACTCACGAGAATTGCTTGCTATAATTCAGAGAGGCACAGAAGATGTGGAACCCAGAGCAGGGCCTCTTACCACCTGAGAGGGCCTCTTACGATCCCAGAAGAAGTCATCTCTAAACTGCGTCCTAGTCCTCGGAAGTTTAGCAAGGCTGGGTAGGGCCGGATTAAAAGCCAGGGCAGAATTTAGCCTGAGGGCCATGGGAAGTCAGAAGGTGTTGAAGCAAGAAAGTGGCATGACCAGAATTTTGAGTTTTGTGCATGTGTTTTCAGATCACTCCGGCAGCAAAATTGGAGGATGTATTAGAAGGGGCCAAGATCAGAGAAAGAAATGATGAGGCCTGAACTAAGGGAGGGAGTTGAACATTATGGGTAGAGAGAGGAGAAAGCCCAAAGACCCTATGGGGATGGGGGAGAAGGGGTGTTTCAGGTAGGGTCCAGGTGTCTGGAGACTAGAACTTCCCAGAAGGCCCGGGTAGAAACTTTAATTGAATAAATTTTAAAAGAAAAAAGTAAAGCTCTGAAGACCTCTGATAAAATGCTGAAAAATAATTTTAATAACATTGTCACTAGATCGCCTCAGCACCATAGGGAGAAAACATTAGCTCCTGCCCAGTGGAGAAACTGAGGCTCAGAGAAGCAAGGTAACCTGCTCAAAGTGCAGAAAAATTCTATTCTGTTGGCCCTGGAGCTCCTCTGTCCCGGTGGCAGGAACTGCCTAAAAACACTGGGGAGGACACTAGCAGATACCTTCAGAGGGCAGAATAGTGACAGGGTTGGTTCCTAGGAAGGCAGGAATAAATGGCTCCTGCCATCATGCAGAGAGAAAGTAGGTGCTCACAGACCCCACACATCCACCTCCAAGAGGCAGGCTCACCAATTTAGAAGGAAGGGGTAAGAGAGACTGAAAAAGGAAAGAGTTAAGGATTTGTGGCCAGGACAGCAAAGCCTTAATAGAGGCACTAATAATCTTCATTTGTTTACACATTCAGAAAATATATATTAAGCATTCCTTATGCAAGACCCTAAGGGCACCAGGAATCATCCAATAGACTCTCTCTCTCTCTCTCCACCCTGAAAGGAAACATGCTGCTAGAAGAGGGCATCTGTACGTCCCTTCAATACTAACAAGAAGAAAAGAGGGAACAGACGAAAATTAAAAAGGGAGAAGAATTAGAACAGGCAAGCTTGAGGCCCTGGCCTGATCCTTCCAGCCTACAGGGCTTCTGGCAACTCCCTAGAGATAGGCTGAGAACATTATATGGCTCATTCAGTGTCTCTCCTTGTTTTGGCCACCAGGGAAATCAGCGTGTAGTTTAACACTCAGTTACAGCACACTCTTTCCTGGGTTCCCTCTCCTTCACTCCAGAGCTTCTAATTTGTTGCAGTCCTTGACTTTTTCTTATATATAACAAAAATCCTCTGCAGAGTTCAAATAATAAATCAAAAGGACTTCTCCTGTGAGAAGGGTTAAGGGCTCAAGCTAGATCGCCACCTGGAAAAAGCTGAGATGTTTAGTGTCCTCTTGCGTATAAGTAATAAGGCATCAAAGTATTCCTGAGCCAATCATTTTTGTCACAAGAACCTCACAAGACCCTAAGGAGCTGTTTACTGACCTCAAAAACTCAAATGAAGACACGCCTTACTGATTATTTGCAATGGATTTCCTGGGCAGGAAACACTATCCCAAATTTGATCTCCCTACTCCCTCTCTGACCCACCTGTGAACAAAATTGAGGCCTGATTGGGGCAGTTAAAAATAATGATGATGGGCCGGGCACGGTGGCTCTAGCCTGTAATCCAGCACTTTGGGAAGCTGCAGTGAGGGAACTGCCTGAGCCCACAGGTTCAAGAACAGCCTGGGAAACTTGGCAAGACCTCATCTCTACCATAAACCACACAATTAGCCAGGCATGAGAGTGCTCACCTGTAGTTCTGGCTACTTGGAAGACTGAGGCGGAAGGATCGCCTGAGCCCAGCAGGTCGATGCTGGGGTGGCCGTGAGTGTGCCACTGCACTCCAACCTGGGTGATGGAATGAGACTTCAACTCAAAAATAATAATGATGATGATGATGGTGGTGGTGGTGGTGCACTGGCTCATGCCTGTAATCCCAGCAATTTAGGAGGCCAAGATGACAGGATTGCTTGAGCCCAGGAGTTCAAGACCAGCCTGGGCAATGTAGCAAGATCTTGTCTCTACAAAAAAAATCAAAAAATTAGCCAGGTGTAGTGGCCCATGCCTATAGTCCCAGCCACTTGGGATCCTTCCTACTGAGGTGGAAGGATCACCTGAGCCCAGTAAGTCAAGGCTGCGGTGAGCTGTGATCATGCCATTGCACTCCAGCCTGGGTGAGACCCTGACTAAAAAAAAAAAAAAATGATGATAGTGCTAATAGTTGACTTTTGTTGGCCCCTGCCCGGCTGTCCAGCCTCATTTCCAGCCTTCTTTCCATTGCTCAAACATGCCAAGCTCAAACCCATCTCGGGGCTCTTGCCTTGGCCTTGTTTTAGATTCTTCTCATCATGCAGGTCTCAGGTCAAAGTTCGCCTTCCTGACCAGCTGCTCTAAAGTTGTCCTTCCAGTCACCTGCTCTCACATTATCTTTATTTATTTTCTTAGCATTTTCCATCTAAAATTACCTTGTTTAGAGCAGTGTGACCTTAATCTATCTTATTCATCGCCGCACCCTGGGGCCAAAAACAAAGCCTGACTTGCAGCCAGAGACTTTACAGAATGAAGGAAAGAAGAGGGGAGTGCCCACTACATGTCCAGTACCATACCAAGTGCTCGGGACTCCTCAGTGGCAGCAGTGTCTCTGCGTGGCATAGCTGGCAGTGGCCCTGCGGCCCCATGTCCCACCCTCTGTGGGCAAGATACCTTCATAGGCTTCCTCTGTATACTCGGCATTGATGAACCTGTCCAAGATGTCGTTCTCTTCAGCGAAGGCAAGCAGGACCCGCACAATCTCCTTGGTGTTGGGGTTGATATTCAACAAGGCCTTCATCAGGCAGGTCTTCCCCGTGTCCGAGGCTGTCAGTTTGTGCATGAGGAAGTCTGCAGGCAGAGTCACAGGATGGAGCTGCTGGAGGGGCCGGATGCCCTGGCACTTCCAGCCAGAGGGTGTGGGAGCTGTAGCCACAGACCTC